TGGACAATTAAAACAGACATTCGGATGGCGGGGGAAGAAGAACAAACTGGGGAGGAGGGTAGAGAGAATGGTACAGCAATGAAGGAATGAAAACCCAAAATCCCTGTAAATGTTCATTAAAACTAATAAAATTTAATAATAAAAAAACACACAGAATAAATAAAACTTAAGAGTGGAAAAAACACGTCAGGCTGTTTCCAGTCTGGGTGCTCCTTAGACGGCTGAGTCAAATTCGAGACAATTCATCCGACTGTGTACACGAGAGAGACAGCTGGTTTCAGATTAAATAAAAAAAGAAGTTTTAACTTTCATTAAAATTAGAATAATTTTAAGAAGCCAGAACTAACGAAAAAAAGAATTAGAGTTACTAACTTTAGTTTTAGAGTGGGTCACCTGACAGCATGAACTGTCCATCCTACGATTTCAGCCCCCAGGCTCCTTTTCCTTTCTTCCTTACCCCTCCCGGAAGCTGATCTTCTCTTAAATATTTTTTTAAAACAGGAATAAAAATATGTCTGGATGCACTGGACCAATAGAGATTAGAGGACTCCGTGAGATTATCATCATAAGGAAAAAACCCAAACCCCCTGAAACCACTGTCATCAAGTAGGTACCGACTCACAGTGACCTCACAGGACAGTGACCCTCCTAGGACAAGGACCCCACAGGATAGAGCACAACTCCCCCAAAGGTCCATGGCTGTGGTCGTGCAGGAGGCTCTAGTGGCCTCGTCCGTAGGATGTTGTGCTGCCACGCTCGCTGTCCGACCCCATCACTGCGTCGTTGCATCTTGTCTTCCTGTTTCATGACTCTGCTTTTTCCAAGGACTGCTGCCTTCTGATGACGTGCCAGGAACAGATGACGTTTCGCCATCCTTGCCCCGAAGGAACACCCTGGTTGCACCTGGGCAGGGCTTCATTGTGTTGTGGGGTTGCTAGGAGGTAGAATCGACATGATGACGCCTCATAACAGCAGCGCGCACACGTTCAGTGACGTTGGTTACACTTTGTGCAACAATGTGTCAGCATTCTTCCGCCTTCTGCTCAGGGCGTTCACTTCCAGCCATCTGATTTCCCTGGCACCGTCATCTTCGCTTGAAGGTCATTGCTGACCACTTGTTCTCCTGTGGGTGGCTTTGAAAGGTCAGCACTGCTGGGTGGTAGTTTTCATTTTCTGAGGCAGTCTGTTTCTAGTTCAGACTATTCCAGGGTGGTTTTAGTTCTAAGTTTGTAGAGTGTCTCAGACCATAGGAGCCCTGGGGGCACAGTGGCTGTTGAATGTGGCTGCCAACTGAAGAATCCCAGTCATAAGGACAGGAAAGGTGGTGGAATGTTCTGGAACAAAACTCCGACAAACCTGTTCCTCTCGGAAGTCTCTACATTGAGATGCAACCACCCTGGAGGCCCAGGAGGCTGGAACACCAGCTCTGTGCGGTTCACTTCACATGAGATGCATGCACTCAGGAAGCCCAGGAGGCTGGTCCACTAGCTCTGTGGGGTTCGCTTCACGTGCAGCTCTGTCAAGAGCCCACGTTCCCCACAGGGCAGGCTACTCATCCTTGGTGCTGCTGCCCCAGCCAGTCCAGCTGCTCCACGCCAGCCCAGCTGCTCCACGCCAGCCCAGCTGCTCCACGCCAGCCCAGCTGCTCCACCCCAGCCCAGCCGCTCCACCCCACGCTCAGTTCCTTGGCTTTCCAAAACCCAAACTGTAGCCAGTCTGGAGAAGCCCACCAGAAAGTCCCTTATGAACCGGACAAAGGAAATGGGAGAGCTGAGAAACCAGAAACCCTCGGTGCCTTAGGAATAAATACAACCCACTGCCAGTCAAGGAAGCTCTTGTGGCTTAGGGGTAAGGAATTGTGCTGGCGACTCAAAGGTGCACAGTTCAAATCCATCAGCTGACCTGTGGGAGAAAGATGGGCAATACCCTCCTGTGTGAGTTCGAGCCTTTGGAAAGTAGCTGGAGGGTCAGCTGTGGGTCGGTAGATGACAAGTGCCAGCTAAGGTGACCCTGACTCACAGTCGCCCTGGAGGGCAGAGCAGAACCAGCCTGGAGGTCTCTAAGGCTGTAAATCTAGAGAAGTGGGCGGACAGCCACATGGTTCTCCAGAGGAGCAGCTCAAATCACCCGGCTTTCAGTAAAATAAACCGTGATGTTAAATTCTGGTTCTGAGAAGAGTTAATGAAAAGGCCACCAGTAGGAAGCTGAAATCAAGGTGCCATACTCTGGGGACACGAGCAGGGGACATGTGCAGAGATGGAAATGAGCCACAGAACTCCAGGACTGACAGGTTCCCCAGCCCCAATACGTTTAAAAGGAAAAGAAAAAAAAAGGAAGAATTTCCATTTGTAAAGAGCAAGGCAGGGTGTCCCGTGGCTGAGTGAGGGCCCCCCTTTTCTACTCCACCTCCCTTGTGCTTCTACACCAGGACCCTCAGGGGGGCTGATCACAGCCCAGCTGAAGGGAACCTGTGTGTGGTGGAGGGAATATGGACCTCACCAGGTCTCTCCATCAGAGGCGCAAAGGTGCTTGGGAAGCCCCCCTCCCCGCACTCCAGCATTCTGAACCAGTCCCCAAGCGAAAGAGGCCACATGGTACCTTGGGTTCCCGTCTCAGTGTAGGTCCTCAGGGCCTCCTCTGCTCCCAGCCGGACGACCCACCTGCTGGGGCTGTACTGAGTCTCCAGCTCCTGTGACAGACAGGTGTACAAGGCTGTGCTCTCAGCGTGCCCCACTCCACCCCTGAGACACCGCTCTACCTTGAGAATCATTCTCCCCAGTAACCCAGCTCTCCCTGAGACCCAGCCTGGAGACCCTTCCCCGCTTTGCCTGTCTTCATTCTTTAGAGCTCTTAGCAGAGCACACAGCTCATTCCTTTGGCTGCTAAGAGGTTGACTGACGGCTTGATTCCACCCAAAAGTGCATCAGAAAAAAAGGCCTGGCTATCTGCTTCTGAAAGCAGATCTCGAAAACCCTGAGCACAGTTCAGCTGTGAGACGGAGTCAGATGGTAACTGGTCAGAGCTAGCCGTCACCTCTGTGGTCTAGAGGTACACGGAGCTAGACAGACCTTTAACCAAGGGGAGACATGCCTGCCAAATGTGTCCTGGTTAACAGGACCGTGTAGCACTACCACCATGCCAGCCCTGCTAGAGGCCAGAGGGCTAGGGGGTCACTGCAGAGCGGGCGTGGGGCTGGTCCCAGGGAGGCATGACTGTGTCCACCAGAGAAGGGACAGCAGGTACAACAAGAGGAGGCCAGGGCATAGTTAGAGGTACAGCAGAGAGGAGGGAGCTGGGGTTTAGAGGGCCAAGAAGCGGGGGATAGAGGCACTTGACCGCCGGACCACGACGTTCAGACTTAACTAAGAAATAAGAAAGGCCAGGATTTTTGAGAAAGTGTTCAAAGGCCTTTGAGTAAAATCTGGGGACAGGGTGGCATCACGGAAAGACTCAAGTTCTGGCTTCAAGTGGACCAAGCTCCATTCTAACACCAACATTTCCTAGCAGGCAAGTTACATATCATCTCTGGGCCTCAGTTTCCACCTCTGTCTAATGGGCATACTTCGTGCCTCGGAAGGTTATAAGAAGGACGGTGTATCCATGATGGAAGCCAGTCCTTCAAGTCTGCACTACCACTGCCCTTCCTCCTCCTGACTGGGTTCTCAGCCTGCATCCCTGAGAACAGCAAATACAACCAGGGCCTTGGTGGTGCAGTGGTTAATTGTTAGGCTGCTAACAGAAAGGATGAGGTTTTGAAGCCACTAGCACATGTGCATCCATGTATATGAGCCTAGAGAATTGTGCTGTTGGCAAGAATATCAAACGGCCACACACTGCCAAAGGGGCAGAGAGACCTGTCTGGAAGGAGTGTAGTCAGAGTGTTCCTTAAAAGCAAGTCTGGTGAGACTGTATCCACATATTTTGGACATGGTATCAGGAGAAGTCGGTCCCCGGAGAAGGGCAGCATGCGTGGTAATGCAGCGGTCAGTGAAGAGGAGGAAGACCTTGGACAACATGGACTGACACAGGGGCTGCAGACAGCACCGTATGATAGGGAGCTCTGTGGACAGTTCTACTGTCATAGGGGGTCCTTAAGAGTTGGAACCTCCTGCAGCGAACGACAAACGTGGCAGCCAGAGCTGGAGAGGAGTCAGTTCTGGGTGACTTTTATCATTGCATTATTTATCACAATGGTGCCATGCCACTCGGAGAGTTCCCTGTTATCATAGGCTAGTGTGTGTGTCTGTAAGAGGGAGTGAGAGGCTGGCTGATTGATTTCCTGGGGCAGGACCATCCTTTCCATCAGGTTTTCAGATACACTCATCACCTCAAAAAGAATGACTGCCCAAATCAGGAAAAGAGGACAGGGAATGACCACTGATGGTAATTTACCCTCTTCCAGAGCTGTGCAGGGCACGTTGCATAATGTGGCTTCTAATCATCACAGCCTTTCTCAGCGCATCCCAGCCTCACCTGTCCTCACCTCCCCATGTAAGCACAGACCCACGTGCATTGCATAACCTCAGGCCAATGTAGCAAGGAGAACTTTGGCCTTAACCTTTGTGGGGCTGTACGTGGAATACCATCGTCCTAGTTTTAGTTCTCGCTATCCTCAAAGTTCATCTAACAAAAGTATGACTGTAGCCAGAAGTGAAACACATTTGTCGTTCAGTGTGGTTGAGTCAGGACACAGCACACAGGGAAGCCTCCCCACACCCTGCAGTCCCAGCCCAGGGCGCTGCTCGGGCATTCTGTACCTGACAGCAGGTGCTCAGTGGGGCCCACACGAGAGGCAGGGCTGGGAGGCTTCCCGACTAGACCAGAGGCACATGTCTAAACTATGGCAGCTGCAGCATGGACCCTGAGCACCACTTGACGGTGTGGAGGGGCACCGATGACCAGTTCCTATCAGCCATGGCAGTGTCCATGTGAGAGACGGTTCAGCAGTGGAAAGCTGCGGGCTGTGAACTAAGCTCAACCCATGGCTGAACTTTCAGCCAAATCACACACAGGTCTGAAGGGTAATCAGTAATGTCAGGGAGACACTCAGTTCTTGGAATAACCAACCACACAAGATCACAAGATCAAAAGGGCACAATTTGCTCAAAAAGAAAACTCAGAAGGCAGGATGGGGTAGATAGAGCAGAAAGGACTCCCACGGAGGAAGAGGAGAGAAGCAGGGTGGTCACATGAATGGATTCTAATTAATGTCATAAAACAAAATGTAGATGAAGAGTTGAATAGAAAAAGGGGGGAAATTTGCTCTTTAAACTTTTTAAGAATAAAACGTGTTGGTTTTTTTTTAATTGCCAAAGGTGTTATTTTCCATAGGTAAAAAAACTCAGCTTAGACCCCCACCTCAAAAAAGGTATGGCCCTGGAGTCAGTTCCGACTCTTAGTGATCCCACTGGACCGCGCAGAACTGCCCCATAGTGTACCGTGGAATGGGAACCGACTGACACAGGAGGAGATTGTCCCTCCTTCTCCAGGGGAGCACCTGGGGGATTCGAACCACGCGCCTCTGGGATTGCAGAGCAGCTTTTTGCCACTAGGCCACCAGAGCTCCCTCCCATAGGATTTTCAAGGCTGTGATATTACCGAAGCATACGGCCACATCTTTCTCCCTCGAAGCACACGGCTAGTGGGTTCAAACTATGGACCTTCTGCCCAGCACTCAGTTAGTGGCCCTCCCACAGCTCTCTAAATTCTCTCCCAGGGCCAAATTCGTGGCAACCCTGAAGGACCACGTAGAGCTGCCCCATAGGTTTCCAAGGCTGTGCTCTTACAGAAAACTACCACATCTTTCTGCGGAGAATAGCTGGTAGGTTCAAAGAGCTCACCTTCAGTTCATCAGCCAAATGCTTACCCACTGCATCTCAGAGCACTTTTTCCACTTAAGAACTCGATTCAATCTAATCTCTGTATTGACCTTCTCAACCCTTGCTTAGTCCTCCCTGCCATCCGCCTACCTCTTTGGACATTTTCTTCCAAGGGGCTTCATGCCCAGAAGACAAACCAGAGACGTCCATCCCACCGACAACCAGAGAGATGCACGCTCTGACCTTGCAGACTTGGTAAGTGGGCGGGACGAGCCTTGGCCCCGCCCCGAGCTCGCCGTATCAGGGAGCGCCGTTCAGATTCTGGACAAGGCACCGCCCACCTCGCCCCTGTAACAAAGTTGGCGCCAGGCCCTCAGCCGCCCAGCGCTAACCCCGCCCCGCGTCCTAACCCCGCCCACCAACCTGTCAGACCCTCGGCCAATTCTGCCCCATCTCCATTAGCCCCTTCTCCCATAAACCCCGCCAATCAGTCTGACTCTGACAGGCCCTCGGCCGGCTCCGCCCCGCCTCCATTAGCCCCGCCTCCCAGCGACCCCGCCCATCAGTCTGACAGGTCCTCGGCCGGGCCCGCCCCGCCTCCATTAGCCCCGCCTCCCAGCGACCCCGCCCACCAGCCCGTCATCCAGGCTCCCGGCCATTCAGAGCCAATCCCGCGCCGCCAGTCCCGCCGTCCCGCGCTAAGCCTGCCCCTCCCCTCCTCGTGACCGCCCTCTACTGGCCCGACGTGCGACTGCAGCCCAAACCCACGTCCAAAATCACTTCCATTGAGTCGATTCCGACTCCTAGCGACGCTGGAGGAGAAAGAACTGCCCATAGGGTTCTAAAGGCTAGAAACGTGGAGCAAAACTGCCTCACCTTACTTTTTCAGAGCAGGTGGTGGGTGCCAACCTGTGGATTAGCAGCCGCGTGCTCTAACACCTCCCCAAACACACGGACCAGGGTCCCTGGCTGCAGGCCAGGTCGCGCCAACCTCGTCCCGCCGGCTCCTCGCCGTGGCCCCGCCCACACGTCTGACCGGCCCACCAGGCGCCAATCCTACCCGGCGATTGGGCTTCGTCAAAACCCCTGCGCACGCCGGGCGGTGATTGGTCCCCGGAAGCACAGCCCCGGCTTTCTGATTGGGCGGTTTGCGGCATTGAAAATTGCGGCGCGGGAACTTGCAGAGGACCGCGTCCGGACGGCGGTGGAGTTGCGCGACTTTCCCCGGAGACAGGCGCCATGAGCTGCATCACCCTCCCCACTGTGCTGCCCGGCTCCCCCAGCAAAATCCGCGGTCAGGTCCAGGTGCATGCGCTGGGGCCAAGCCGGGTGGGCGGGGATCTGGGGTCCGGGTCTGGTCGGGATCCTTCAGTGTTCGACTTCGGCGCGGAACCGGCCCCCAAGTGACCTTTCCTTCTCTCCTAGGTGATCCTCGGGCCCATGTTCTCAGGGAAAAGGTAGTGGCTTTTGGGGGGCCCCACTTCATTTCCTGAAAACCCCACTCTCCTCTCCAGGGACACCCCTTCTTGCCCGGGACCCTTTTCCTTTCCTGCCAGCTACCCCTCGAAGAAGAGCCCTCTAGAACCTTCCACCCTGTAACCCACCCTCTGAGCCCTGCCCTGGAGTCCACTCCCCATCCTGTACACCTCCCTTCCTGCCGCGGGTGCTGCTTCTCCCCCATCAGTGGCCGCAAGGAGGGAGCCCCAATCTTTTTGCCATTGTACCCTGTGGGTAGCCCCTGGTGTCCTAATTCCCTTAACCTACGACAGGAGACGTCATTTTCCACACTGAGGAGTGTAGGGGAGCTTGAGGCTTAGCCCCCCAAGAGAAAGAACCTTACCAGAGTCTGAGAGAGGCTGGGAGGGATCTGCCCCAGAAAGACCTAAGCTCTGCCTCTTTCTGATTTAGCCACAGGCCATCTGGGCGAGGCTCTGGGCCTCCAGGCAAAGTTGCACAAGCTGGCTTGGTGTAATTAGTTCTGGCCCCCGCAGGAGCTCCTTTCTAGGTGTCTAGGGAGCACCCCGTCCAAGCCCCCCTCCCCGTCCACTGGGCCCCCCAGAGTCTTAATTTTGGGGTTCGGTCCAGTTTCAGCTGAGAAAGCTGAGCGCTCTCCATGGAAGCCCTTCCCACCCACTCCCTGCTGCTTCCGCCTGGAAACCACCAGGGGGTGGTGGACACCAGCTCCTTGGGGTCCTTGTCTCATCGGCTACAGCCTCACTGGACCCTCTGTCCTTGCAGCACAGAGCTGATGCGACGCGTCCGGCGTTTCCAGGTTGCCCAGTACAAGTGCCTGGTGATCAAGTACGCCAAGGACACTCGCTACGGATCAGGCCTCTCCACTCATGACAGGTCAGTCCCTGCCCTCAGAGGTCCCTGAAGTGCACTGGCCACAGAGTAGATGGCCAGAGCTTCCTGTCCTGGAGATAATCAGTGATGCTGGCACCTGGGAACTGCTGCCTGACATCACCCCACTCTCTGGGCTGTTTGAAGAGGTGGCCTGGGACTTGACTGGCCTTGTGTGGACCAGTGGTCTTCAAGGAGGGCGAGTTTGTCCCCTGGGAAATACCGATGTCAAAAAAAGGATGTTGGGGAGCTCTGGTGGCCTAGTGTCGAAGAAACAGCTGGAATCCACCAGGGTCGGTTTTGACCCCACGATACACCACCACAACCTAAAACTCATGACGATTAACCATACAGTAAAAGATAACTTTAAAAAAAATGATGTCAGGGGACACTTCTGGCTGTCCTCCTGGGGAGGGCGGAATACTGCTGACATCTAGTGGTGGAGACCGGGCACCCCCACAATGGACAATCCTCAGCCCAGGTTCCATACCCCAAAAGGTGAAGGGGAGCTCCCTCCGGCAGCGTAGTCCTCAGGGTCTCGCACCGCTGACTCAAAGGCTGTGCTTCTTGAGAGGTTCCAATCAACCAGCTGCTGCAAGAAAAAAGATGGGACCCTCCTCCCGTGCCGTTTACAGCAGCCGAAGCTCAGTGGAGGGTCGTTTCCAATTCCACCACCGTGAGTAAAGCTGAACACCTGCTTAAAGTGTCCATCTGTACTAGTGTGCATTCTTTACAGAAGCAAAACCAGTGAAGATTGGAGGAAGAGACCTCCTTCAAGGAAATGGCACTTGGGCTTGTAGAGCCTGGCAGGTCCCACGGCTGTGGGTGAGACCGAGAGAGAGAGAGGGTTTGAAGAGAATGAGTCCAGGTCGTCTGCAGTCAGGGTCTGCTGGCTTGGGGGACTACAGCTTCAGAGACAGATGGACCCAAAGCCCTGCGTCAAGAAGCAGGGTTGCAGATGGCTGGCGTGAGCCAGATAGCCAGTGCTGTTAGATGCCATTGAGTCAACGACAGCTCTTAGTGACCCATGAACAACAAATCTGAACCTTGGCCTATCCCGCACTGTCTTTATACACCCCGCATGCTTGAGCCCACTGCTACAGTCACTGTGGCCCAGCCCTGGGACCAGTCTGCTTTGTGCCTGGCTTTGTCGCTCACTAGCCGTCTGATCCTGGGGAATCCTTGGACCTAACGGGAGCAGTGGACAGGAGGGGATTCTAGGTCATCGCACTGGATTGGCCCCCCGCCCGGGCCACATTCTGACTTCCTCCTGTGTCATCATGAACTGCCTCCTCATGGAGACGCCGTGCACAGCCCATTGAAACGCCACACCTTCTCCACAGTGGGCTGTCAGGCTGGTGTGATCCTCAGGGCTCTCATCAGCTGGCTTGGAGGAGCACCAGGCCTTTCTTCCTGGTCTGACTTGGTCTGGAAACCGCACTGAAACTTGTTTCACATCCTAGCAGTGCTCACACAGGCTCCCCTGACAGACAGGTGGTGGCTGTGTGTGTGAGATGCACTGACCTGGAATCAAACCCAGGTCTCCCACATGGACAACGAGGACTCCACTGAGCTACCCAAGTGTTCCTCCTTCCTCCATTAATGGAAGTTAAAAACGTCCGTGTGTCTGCCTCTGTGTGGCACACATACTCCAAGCTCTGAGTCATTTGGGTTTTTTCCTTCTGACTTACAAGATGCTATGTGTGTTGGCCCCTGTGCGGGTCTCTCACTGAGAACCAGTCCTGCATGCCTGGCCACTGGTCAGGGCATCAACGGACTCTGAGTCCTATGTGAGATTCATATTAAAACCACTGGCCCCAAGTCGATTCCGACTCCTAGTGACCCTGCGGAACAGACTAGAACCCTCCAGGGGGTTTCCAGGGCCGGCATCTTTACAGTCTCCAGCTGCCACCTCCTTCTGTACAGGGAGTGGTTGAACTGCTGACCTTTTGGTTATTGGTAGCAATGAGTGCTGTAGCCGCTGTGCCACCAAGGCTCCTGATGTTTCTCCTGGGCATTGCTACATAGTCCAGCAGAAGCAATGTGGGCTTGGGACCAAGTGCTGACACGCCGCCGTATGTTAACTTCCTGAAGCTGTGCTGGGCGGGCTCTGCAGGGGAGCAGTGGTCACCTGGGGCAGGACACCTGGTGTCTAGCTTCTGCCCCCCGAGTGGTGGTCACCTGGGGCAGGACACCTGGATCTGGCTTCTGCCCCGGAGTGGTAGTCACTTAGAGTGGGACACCTGGTATCTGGCTTCTGCCCCCAGAGTGGTGGGCACCTGGAGCTTGACACCTGGGTCTGGCTTCTGTCCCTGGAGCGGGACACCTGGTATCTAGCTTCTGCTCCCTGAGTGGTGGTCACCTGGAGCAGGACACCTGGGTCTGGCTTCTGCCCCGGAGTGGTGGTCACTTAGAGCAGGACACCTGGTATCTGGCTTCTGCCCCCAGAGTGGTGGTCACCTGGAGCTTGACACCTGGGTCTGGCTTCTGTCCCTGGAGCAGGACACCTGGGTCTGGCTTCTGTCCCTGGAGTGGGACACCTGGTGTCTGGCTTCCATCCCCGGCTTCACTCACGCTCCGGCTTTCCCTCCCCAGGAACACCATGGAGGCTTTGCCGGCCTGCCTGCTCCGGGACGTGGCCCAGGATGCCCTGGGCGTAGCGGTCATAGGCATCGACGAGGGACAGTTTGTAAGTTGACCTACTTCTGTGTCTTCCTTCCGCGGTGTCTCTGTGTCCCTCTTTCCCGTGCCGTCTTGGAAGTTGTCTATTCTGGTTCTGCCCTTACACTTTCACCCCTGAAGTACACACGGTGAGTGAACTTCCTCTATCAAGTGATGCTTGAATGTTGCCTTTCACCTCCATGTTACTGCTGTATGGAATTTTCACCTTTAGAAAAATATGCTGTGGTTGCTGTTAGGTGCCATCAAATCAAAACCAGCTCTTAGCTGACCCTCCAGCGGGTTTTCAGAAGCACCGAGTCACACAGGAGACTGCCCACCTTTGTCCCGGGGAGCTGCAGGTAGATTCGAACCACCTGCCTTTGGGCTGGCAGTTCTGCTCCTTACCACTAAACCACCAGAATTCCCTTGGAAAGACATATAATATTTCTTTTAAAATAAGGCTTCCACAGCGAACTTCTTACCACGGTGTGCACGCGTGTTCCGTCTTGCTTGGACCGTTACTGCTGTCTCTCCTTCCTTGGTTTACTTTCCTCTTCCCTGACGTACAGCCTTTAGAGGTTTCTGTAGGCAGGACGTGTGCTTGAGTAGCCCTCAGAGTCTCCCCGGCCTCTGTCTGAAAATGTCTGCATTTGGTTTTCCTTCTGCTGTAAATGGGGTCACAGATGGTGGCCCGGCCATCCGTCCTCCTTGTCGAATCGGCACTCGTTGAACAGGAAGTCCTCCATCTCATCCGTCACTTTCCTGGGTGGTAAATCTGTCAGAACAAGGAAAACAGAAAAAAAATCCTTTCTGTCCTGTCTCTTACCTGGTGTGTCCTACTTGCTTGAGCTGCGGTCTTTCACACACTGCCAACGCTGGACACGGAGAACTGCTGTTTGAATTGTGTCGGCAGAGAGCACGCTGTGTGTACATGCGTCATCAGAAGGAACGAATCCAGCTCGGACCGAGTAGAGGCAACCCCGTGGGCTGCCGGAAGGTCCATCGGTGTGTCTGGGGAACGTGGGGCCCGAGTGCGCCTCGGAAGTGGAGAGGACGAGATTTCATTTTCTGCATCATCAGGAAGACCCGTCACTCGGAAAGTCTGTCATGTTTGGTGAGAGTCAGCGAGACGACCCTCCGAGAGACCAGCTGACGTGGTGACCGCGAGAGTGGGCTGGACGCCCAGGACTGTAGGGGCCGCGTGGGCCTGAGCCGGGCTTCCTTCTCTTGTGTGTTAAAGGCGCCGACACCTGGGGTGTTAACTCAAAGGCGGAGCCCCTTTGGAAGTTCAAATCCCGCAGCAGCTCCTGGAGAGAGAGTTGAGCGCTTTCCTCTCCTGTGATTTACAGCCTCCAAAAGCCTGTTGGAGGGTCAGCTCTGAGGAGGTTCCGACTTGACAGCAGTGAGTTGAGCTTCTGAGGTTGAGTGGGTGCTGTAGCGAACATGTAGGCTGGCAGTTGTGTGTTGTCAAGTCGGGCATGACTCCTAGCTGGGCCTCCAGCGGGTTTTCAGAGGCAGTAAATCACTCAGGAGACTGCCTGTCTGCCCGGAGAGCAGATGGTGAGTTCAAACTGCATACCTTCGGGATTGCAGTGCAGCCCCTTACCACGGGGCCGCCAGAGCTCCCTGAAGGAGATTAAGGTCTCTGAAAATGTCACTAGTTAATGAGAAGTTACATCCAAGGGGGACCTGATGTGACAGCACAGAACTGCCCCACAGCGTCCAGGCTGGCTCGTCAGAGTGGACCGCCAAGCCTTTCTTCCTCAGGGCAGCTGGGTGCTTTGGGCTGCCAGGTTTCTGCTAATAACTGAACATTTCACTGGTGTGTGACAATCCCCTTACACAAGCCCACTGCGATGGAATCGAGTCTCCAGGCTGGAGGAAGACCACCCATCTTGACAACATACAACAATTTCCTCCAGAGCCTGGTAGCTTAGTGGCAAAGAGCTGAACTGCAAACTCAAAAGCATACAGAGTGGGAACGATTGTATGAAGCACGGCGTGACTGAAGGACAGTGTAAAACACAAGGTGTAAGAATTTTGTACGCAAACCAACAGAAAACTTTTTCAGCACGCATGGTTTGAACCCACCACTTGCTCTCCTGAAGAAAGAAGGTAATCTCCTCCAGGGAGATTTACTGCTTCTGAAAAGCTGCTGGAGGGTCAGCTTGAGTCTGTCTGACTCGGAGGAACATAACGACCATCTCCTTTGGGGACGTGACCGCTCCAGGCCTCCCTGGTCAGTTCACCGTTCGCACCCACACCCACTGTTGAGTTGCTAGCGACTCGGCGGCCATGTAGGGCTGAGGGGAGCAGCCTCACTGGGCTTCAAGGCTGTGAGTCTTTACTGACCAGACGGACTGCCAGCCTTCTCCCGATGAACGACTGGTGGGCTCAAACCATGGGCATTTCAGTTGGCAGCTGAGAACTTTAAGCTGGCTCCCAGGACCCCTATTCTCTCCGCCATCCCAGGTAAACCACAGCCCTGAGGTGTGTTCCCAGCTGTCCTGTGTCTGCTCACCCCTGTGGCTAGGTCCCGTCCATCTCTGATCCACACGGACAAGGCTATGCGAGATTTTCTTTTCAGTCTGATCATGTCTGAGAAAGGCTGTCGGTTCAGACCTACCACCAGTGCCTTAGAATAAAGGCCTGGCATTCAGCTTCGTAAGTGGCATCTGGGCACACCCCGTGGAGCAGTTCTGTCTGTACCTGGGCACGTCCTGGGTGGGGACACACTGGGTAGGGCTCAGCAGGCTGGCAGCCGGTGGGACTTGGCGTCTCCACGTCTCACATGCACACAGGCGGGTGGGTTTCTTTTCGTTGAATGACGTAGACAGGAAAAGGAGAGAACAGGCGGTGTGGTCCTCCTCTCTTCCTGTGGCCTCAGCCCCTGTGTGGCTGCTGAATCAGTCTTTGTGGTTTGGGCTCTCCTAGGACAAGCAATTACAGCTTGCTCAGATCCACAGTCAACACTGTTAACACCGGCAGTCAGGAAATCAAAAGACAAATTGCACTAGGGAAAATCTGCTGTCATGGACCTCTCCAGAGTGCTGAAGAGCAACAAAGTCTATATACAAAGGTGCACGTAATCCAGGCCATGGTCTTCTCAATCACTTGTTATGCTTCAGAGAGCTGGACAATGACTAACAATAACAGAAGAAGAATAGATGCCTTTGAGTTGTGGTGCTGGAGAAGAGTCTTGAACATACCATGGGCTGCCAAGAAAACAAATAGATCTATCTTGGAGAGGATTTTGAAGCTCCGCCTCACTTCGGGCACATGGACAGGAGAGATCGGTCCTTGGAGAAGGACATACTCGGAAGGGTGGAGGGATGGCACAGGAGAGGGAGACCCCAGATGAGATGGATTGATATAGTAACTGGGGTGATGGGGTTGGTGTGTTGGAGCTAGTGAGACTAGCTCACGACAGGGAAGGGTTCAGAAAGGTTCATAGGGTCGCTATACATTGCAGGCAACTCAATGGCACATGATAACAATAACATGCTATGACAGGTTTGGAAGCACGAGTAGCATCCACTTCCTAAACACCATGTCTCTGGAAACCCTATGAACTTTGATAAATGTCAGTAGTTGTAGAGGGGCTTCAGGCCTTTTGTTCATAGGGTCGCTAGGAATTGTGCTCAATCAACAACAGTCGGACCTGTGGCTGTGACCCGCTGAACACTGGCCTGTGGTCGGCAGGTTTAGAGGCCAAGCCTGACGCCCTGTCCAGGACTGGCCTCTCCCTCCTCCGTTGACGACTGAACACACTGGCTTAGAAGCCAGCACCGTTCCAGCTTCGCCACAGCCCCGGCCGCGTCCTCCCTGGTGAGCAAGTTGAACCAGTTCACGCAGTGTTTACTGTAACCCAGCACCAAACCCCTGCTCTCCTGCCGTTCCCACCCCACCGCCCTGTGCGGCGGCGGAGAACTGCCCCTTTGCACGCCTGGGATGACTTTGGGTTTATTTGAGAGAGTTTTCAGAAAAGACTGCTATCTGTGCACCCACTCCTCCGTGTCTTGTGTGACACGGTTACAATCCCCACGTTGTGTGTCTGTGTGTTTACACTCATCCCTCCACGTCGCTTCCCTTCCGAGTGTCAACTTTTTCTTTTACACTGATTTCTTTACGAAGTTTAAATACATTGTTTTTCACAAAAGATCCTTCTCACACACACCCCCATCAAATTGTGATTCACACCCGGCCCTGCCCACCCTCCCTCCTTGGGTCCTTATACTCATTAATGGTTTTATGCAGTATTTGTCCTTGTGGGACTGAGTTAGTTCACTCTGCATAACTGAGCTTCACTTTAGGTCCGTGCTGCCCTGTGACCCTGTGTGGCTGATTGTTCTCTGGACTGCTGGTGGCGGTCACCTCGCTGATGTCTCATCTGGCTGCATGCTGAGCTTGAGTTCCCTTCCTTGGTCTGTAAATCTCTGGAGGCAGACGGCCTTGTCTTTCCACTGAGTAACCGATGGATTCTAAACGCTGACCCTTCTCCAGCGTCAGACGGGATGGTCTTCTCAGCGCTGCTCTTAGAGAGGGCAGGCCCAGGGTGGGGGGTGAGGGGGTGGCGAAAGCAGCATTTGTTACAGAAGCAGCTGGCTCTCGGCCCGCCAGGCAGTCAGGTGTCCCCTGCTTTCCGGCGTTCATGCTTCGCCTGTTCAGATGTGGTTTCTTTCTCTGTTGACCTAGCACAGCCACAGAGTGGCGGGTGTTTCTGTGAAGTTCTTTGTTTCAAGAGATTCCCAGGACTTGGCTGTGTAGCAGGCTGAAGGGCAAAACAGCCCCAAAAAATACCACAACTGCAAAATGCTGCACGTTTTAGGCCTTGCCCTTCTAGGCTTAAAATTGTTCTAAGTTGTTGTGAGGTTTTTTTCCACTGTGTGTGTGTGAGAGAGATTTGCGTGAAAGTTTAACAAAGCATGTTGGTTTTTCACTGACCCGTTCACACACATTTTGTTTTACAGCATTGATCACCATCCATTCTATTCAAGCTCGCTCTTCCCACTCCCTCCCTGTGATTCTCAGGCCCATTACTCCTACTGTACCACCTCCTGGTACCCATGGCTTGGGACAGGCCTTGCTCTCCCCATGCCTGTGCCAGGTTGAGAGCCTGGCCAGGAGCTGCATGTGCTCGGAAGAGCTGGGTCACCCGCGTCCCCTCACAGCCCTCTGCAGAGGGCTGGGGCCTGGCCAGGCGGTTGGGGTGGTTGTGGCATTGAGTGGTGCAGGTCCCACCTGATTGTGTGTGGCCTCCTCTGCGTTGAAAGGGGACTGTATGTCTCTGTGACTTCATACAGTAAAGTCGAACTCCCTGCCATCGAGTCAGTTCAGACCCACGGTGAACGCTCCACAGGGTTCTGGGACTGTGAATCTTCACAGGAGACTTCCCATCTTTCTCCCCCTGGTGGATTCAAACTGGCCACCTTCTAGTAAACAGGCCCATCAAGCTGTAGAAAACCCATCGACTGGCCGTGAGGAGCCCAGCTGGGAGAGTCCCCCAGGGCTTGTTTCTGTAGCGACCTCTCTCTGAGCCCTTCCTGAGTGAAATCTGATTTGCGAAGGGCTCCCTTTCCTGTCAGCCTGTATGCAAAAAGATGTGCCCATCGTGTGTGAATGACCAGTGGTGGCCCTGCTTCCTCACGCCTGAGCTGGAAGAGGAGGCAGGCCCCCCCCGGTCACCGGCCACATTGTGCAGCAGTGGAACCTGGACAGCCATGCTCCTCCTGGGCTCACAGGTTCTCTGCCTTTGACAGGTGTGGTCTGACCACTGTTAGTGGAAAACAATTATCTTCTCTGACAGGTTTCTGCTTTACAGTCTGCCAGAGATTGAACTGTGACCCCCCCCACCCCAAAATACCTGTGCCCCAATGCAGTGTGGACATTGAGTCCCTGCGGTCTGTCAAACCAAACAGAATGTAGCACATTTAATGCCATCACAGGCCTGCTGTGTGAGGGGTCCCCCTGGGGTGTGGCTTGTAACACCTTTTATCTCACAAGATACAGAAGAACCTGGCCCCTGTACTGGGAAGCTCTGTGCCACTGGGGCGGCCAAGACACATGGCTATTTCCAGGGAACCCTGGACCTACAGAGGTTCCAGGATGGACAGTGGTGAGAAGGGAGCCGTCCCCCAGGGCTGGCTCCTTTCAGACGTCTAGGGAATCCCACTGTCACAGCCGTACTAGGACCAAGATGTTCTCAGTGCAGAGAACCATGCAAGGAGTCTGGCTTGGAAATGTTAACGTCATTGCCAAGGTCACACCGCTAGTAGGTTCAAGCCCAAGGAGCCTGGCCACCTGGTTCCGCTCACGGGGCTGCCCCAGAGCTGTCCATACAGCACAGGGCATGAGCCATGGGGACCATGCCAGTCGCTCGGTGGGCAGCGGGTGCCCACTCATGTCTGGGAACGAAAGTTCCAGCCACCAGCATGGCCCCTCACTCTCCTCCCTCCTCTGCCCAGTTCCCTGACATCGTGGAGTTCAGTGAGACTATGGCCAATGCCGGGAAGACTGTGATCGTGGCTGCCCTGGATGGAACCTTCCAGAGGAAGGTGAGGGTTTCTTCAGGCTGGGGTACTGGGAGGACGAGGAGGGACAGGGCTGGATGCACATGGGCGTGCCCAGAGATGGCCCACGTAATGCGCTGTTCCCTGGATGACCAGGGGTTGGTGCTGCAGAGTACAGCCAAGCTGCTTAGAGCAGGCCGTGGAGCCGGGCCTCTGACAGGCTACACCAGCCTGCCCCTACCCCTTTATCCTCTCTGGACATCGTGACTGGCCAAGTAGCCTGGACTGACAAGGGGACAGATGCTGCAGTTAGGGGACGAGCAGGGTCAAGGCAAACGTCCCTGGCATGAACCCAAGGGCTCAGACCATCCCCGGCGCAATGGGCCCTCACTGGGGCTCTCCGCATACCCGCAGGCGTTTGGGAACATCCTGAACCTGGTGCCGCTGGCCGAGAGCGTGGTGAAGCTGACAGCCGTGTGCATGGAGTGCTACCGAGAGGCTTCCTACACCAAGAGACTGGGGGCTGAAAAAGAGGTACCATGGCCCTCTCTCGGGGTGGGGGCGCCCCATGGGCTGGCCTGGCCATCACACCTGACCATGTCCCTGTGGACAGGTGGAGGTGATAGGCGGAGCAGACAAGTACCACTCAGTGTGTCGCCTCTGCTACTTCAAGAAGGCGCCCTGCCCGTCACCAGGACTAGACAACAAGGAGAACTGCCCAGTGCTGGCAAGGCCGGGCGAGGTGGCCGGCGTGCGCAAGCTCTTTGCCCCTCAGCAGGTCCTGCAGTGCAGCTCTGCCCACTAACTGGACAGGAGGCAGGCCTGCGGAACGCCACTCCTCTCCCTCGCTGCTGCCCACTACACACAGCCTGCCCATCTGGTGAGAGGCTCTGCAGGTGAGGATAGGCCAGCCTGTGGATCTCTCCAGACCTCATACCCTGGTGACATGGACTCTGCAGTGCTCTCCCCACTTTGCGGCTTTTGAGTTTCTATTCTCCCCGGGAAGCCCAGCCCTGACCGGGGCACTGTCCCCCCAGGATGGCCCTTCCCTGTGGGCCAACAGCTCACCTGCACTCACCATGAATTTTCTCCAGACTAGAGCCTTCGTACCCAAAAGTGCCTGGTGCAGGGCAACACCTTTGCTGAGTCACTAATATTAAAATGAGCCATTTGATACATCAGGCCTTCTGACAAATCCCCCCCTTGTGGGGAAGAGGGAGTTTGGGGTTCCCCGTGGGGCTGCAGTTGATGTCCACGTGATGTGGGGGAAGAGCTTCTCCCTGCTGTTGCTGTGTTCCTGAGAAGTGACCACGAAGGGGATCCTGTCCGGGAACCACCTGTCCGTTTGGCAGCCTCAGGACCAGGCTGAAAAGGCGAGCCGGCAGTGTGCTGCCAGCGAGGCTGCTGTGGGGGCAGGTTTGTTTGTGAAATGGACACTTGCTGGCCAGCACCAAGCAGAGCTCAAGCCCCATGGGGTGGGGGTGGGTGGCAGTGGGGCCTCCAGGGGCAGTTATGGCTGTGTCTGGGTGGGTGTTCTGAGATGACTTCCCAGGCCCCTTCTCTCCTCTCGGTCCTGTTCCAGGTTTGGAACTATTTATCCAAGCCCTCGTTAGTGACAGGCCCGGGGACCCTCTGGAAGTGGGACAACTTCCACTTCCCACCTGGGAGGGGCCAGTCCCTGCACAGGGATGGTCACCCCACTGGACGGCCGCACTGAGCCTTGGGGTCACAGGGCCTGGGGAGGTGACCCTATTCCTTTTCACCGGGGTTTTGAAACCATGGGTCGTTGATGACAGCCTGGGTCATTGCTCAAGAGGGAAGGCGGATTGCTTCAGGGGCCCCAACCTGCAAAAGTGGGTCCTGCCTTCTGAGACAGGCTTGGCCTGGTCCCCAAGTGTCCTTCAGAAGCCCCTCCCTCAGGTCACACTGGGGCCATCCTTCCCATGGGTACCTTGCAAGGCTCAGGAGGAAGGGGGACTTGGGAGGTGCCGCCCTTGTGCAGGAGCCCCTACACCTCTGCAGGCACCATGAGGCCCCCGGTCCCTCCCCTTGCTTGCTGAGACCGACCGAGTGGTACAGACAGTGAAAGAGAAAGCCATTTATTCCCTTTCCAAACAGCCTAAGCTGAGAGTGGTGGTTACCCCAAGCTTTCTAGTACACGGGAGGGTCTGCGATGCAGCCCCCTTCCACACTTCAGAACCAAGACTATTTACATAAAGCTGGGTGTCCTCAGGCAGGCAAGACCCCTCCCACTGCTGCAGGGGGGATGGGCTGGGCACAGCAGGAAGGCAGCCCCCAGGCACTTGGCACAGGGTGATAACCCCAAATCCAGAAGGAGCAGGTAATACAGCAATGGCCTTGGCCCTGGGGGTCCAGTAAGGTGCAGGAGACAGCAAACCTGAGTGAGGGGTTGGGAGGCTCAGCCCAGCACCAGTAGCAAGAGACCAGGGCGAGGTACGACCTGCGTCTTTGGAGGAGCCCCCAGCCCACTCCTGGGGTGGGGGATGCTAAGGCACAGTGGTGTGGCAGGAAGGCAGGGCACCCCTCCTATCTCAGCTACTCCACAGGGCAGGTGGCCTCCGCCCCCAAGAAGCAAACATTTCTAGCTAAAAAAAAAAAACAACCCAAAAAATCCTTGTCTAAAAATGCCCTTCAGGAGTGAGTGGGCAGGAGGCTGGGAAGCCCCTTTCTGCAAAGGCACTTGGGCCCATGGCCCCACGGAGCCAGGCGGGCAGGCAGGTGGGTGTCCAGCAGGCGGGAGAGAAGTCCAGGTGGCAGGGAGGGCCGCGGGCACCCCCGTACCCCTTCCCATTCCTGCTTAGTACACAGGGGGTGGCTGGTAGCCCTCGGTGTTCTCTGGACTCTGGGTGAAGGGTGGCTGCTGGTAGGTGTCCACAGAGGTCCCAGGGTAGGCGGCATAGGCTGTGCTGGGGTCGGGAGTGGGGTCCACATAGTTCTGAATAAAGTCCACGCCGGCCTTGTAGCGCTGGTAGGCCAGCGAGGCCAGCGCACCCTGTGGGAGAGCCAAGCTTTGGGTTGGGGAGCAGGAGACAGGCTTCGCCCTCCCACGCCCCTCGCCTCACACAGCTATGAGCAGGCCCACCTACCCAGGAGAAGATGGAGAAGAAGCTGAAGGTGATGGCAGCGCGGGCCGAGTCAGCGCCCACCAGCACGTCCTGGGGGTTGGTGGCTGCCCACTGGTTGGTGAGGAAGCAGAAACCAACAAACCACAGGAAGGTCCACAGAGCTGGGGAGACAAGGAGGGGTCAGGGGGCTGTGCAGGGACCCTGGGGGGCTTCTGGAGAGAGGGATGCCCCGAGGCGCAGATCTGAAGGCAGAGGAAGTGGGGAGAACCGATTCCGACTTGTGGAGTCGCTACAAAGCCTGGCCACTGACTTCTGGACACTAGGGCGATCAGCAGATGGACAGGAAGTCACATGCAAACCCACAGCGTGACGGGTGTGGGCCTGGGGAATGCTGTCTGGAGCCCATACTGGGGGAGCCCCACCCCACCCCAAGATACCTGAGAAGAGCAGGTCCCCGACGACCAGGTACTTGCGGTCAGTCGCGTTGCTGATCTGGGGGAAGTAGGCATCCACCACGAAGAAGGCGGCGCAGGCCAGGAAGGCCAGCACGCCTATGGCCCCACCGTAGCGGCAGGCGTCCTCGTTGTGGTTGAAGACGCAGTAACGCTGCTTGGATTCGTGGGTGTTGCTGTAGCCCTCCCCGAAGATGCAGGCAAACACGATCAAGGCCAAGACCTGGAGAGGGGGAGTGGGGGAGAGAGGTCACCCGGGGCTGGCAGACACCCCAGGAGCCAGCAACATGGCTAGACACCACCTCTCTCCCACGGAAGCTTCCTGCAGCACTGCCTCCACCTCTGGAGTACAGCCCCTTCCCAGGGGTACCCCCGATCTCGGTCCCGTCCCAGGCAGCCAGTCCTGGGTTCTCCAGGAGGCCGATGGCTGTCCTATGAGAATGTCTTTAGACGCCAGACCATGTCACCCCCAGCACATCCCATCTTCACACTGATTTCAAACATTAAAGAAAACCATGCTGTCTCAGGTTCCTGGTCAGTGGCCGTGCATGAGCCATTGTAGCCACTGACAGTCCATCCTGAGGGCCTTCCTTCTCGCCTACCCTCCGGTTCTCCATGCGTGATGTCCTTCAAGGCCTGGACCCTCCTGCTACGTCCCAAGTATGGGAGACAAAGTCTCACCGTCTTGCTTCTAAGGAGCAGTCTGGCTGCACTTCTGAGCCAGTCCACAGCATGGTCAAGACTATTCCTCAACACCACACTTGAAAGGCATCGGTTCTGAGAAGCAACTCCCTCACTAGGTGCCCCTGAGTGACCTGGACAGCGCCTGACTTCCCAAGGGACCCCAGGTCCGAGAAGAACCTCACCAGTGGCCAGTCTCCAACTGCATCCTCAGCTAAAAGCGGGGTCTAGGGCTGCCTCCTTGACCTGCTTCTACCTCAGTATAACCCCCTCCACTCTTCCTTGCTCCTGGCAGACACCCACTGTCCTAGAACTCTGATGGCACCCCGACTCCCAAGGAGGGCTCATTTATCAGCCCACCTTAGAACAGGTCCAGCCTGAGCACAAAGGTCCACCAGCCTGTGTCCCGCGCCCACAGTAAAGAGCCCCTTGCCAGTCACCACCAGTAACCACTGCAGAAGCGGGGTGGAGGGCCGGCACTGGGCTCCTGGCCTGGCGCGAGCTCTCCAATAGAGTTCAAGCGCTGCAGTCACACGCCCCACCCCCCGCTGGAGATGGAGCCGGAACTATGGGATGCTGGCTGCCCGGTGCCAACCCCCCAACTCCTGGCACTGCCATCCAACACTGGGCATCTCCTGCTTGGGTGCAGCCATGTACAGAGCCGGTCAGGACCTAGGATGGGGGCGGGGGTGTAAGGCGCAGGGGCGCAGCGTCTGGTACCCTAGAGGTGGCTCTGGGCACGCCAGGACCCCCACCCCCCCCCCCCCCGCCGCCACCGGTAAGCCAGCTTTAGTGAGATCAAGGTCAAGGCTCTACTCTCACTCCCCCTGACCCCTAAAAGCCCGGGTGGAGCGTTTATGGGGAGAGGTACATCCTGGGTTAGCAGGTCTGGGGTTTGGATAGGGGCCCTCGGCCCGCTCCGGAAAGCAAGGGAGACCCCGTTTCAGGGATTCCAAGCCTCACTTGTCCCCCTCCCTCCCGCCCCCCACGTGGCTGCGGAATGCCCCTTCCCAGTGAGTCCCCCAAGCTGGGAGGCGCTGCGTGCGGGCCACCTGTCCTGGAGGGGCCCCAAGCTCCTCCTCCTGCCAGCACGGTGACGGTGTCCCCTCGGCGCCTCCGGGACACCCGGCGAGGGGGTGGGGGCCCGGGATGGGGGCTCAGGACCCGGGGTGGAGGCCAAGGGCCCGCGGTGGGCAGCGGGGTCTGAGACCAGGGCGGGAGGCCGCACAGGGAGGAGATGGCGGATCCGGGAATGGGGGGGACTTCTCGGGAAGCGGGGTGCACAGCGGGGATCAGGACCAGCAGGTGCGCGGACCCGAGGAGGTGAGGGGTCCGGACCCAGAAGGGAGCCGGGTCCGGGACGGGAT